GTCAGTCGCTGGGCGCCATACAAATCCCTTGCAAAACATCGCCAATGACTACTCCCAACATTTTATTTGTCGCGAAGGCCAACTAAATGATGTCAGTGCCGATTAAAATTTATTCGTCTTTCGTCTTTCGGACTTGTCACACTGCCCTCCGCCTAATCTGTACGCAATATACAATGAAGGCTAAGTTTTAATTTGTTTGTAATAAACTATCAAAAGACATTGTGAAGAGAGAGAGAGAGAGACTTTGTCAAGAGTGAGATGTATGTATCTCATTTAAATCTTCAAAGTAAACAGAAGCCAATAAATAAAGCTCTTCAAAACACAAACAACTAATAAATTAACTAAATGTATTTTAAGATTTCCAAATGAAAGTAGACCGTGCAGCAACTTAGTACTAGGCGCTCATAAATCAATCTTAGTACATATATTGTCGGTGTCGGTAAGGCGCGCGGCGCAGTGCGCGCATCCCCCAGCAAACACTCTGTACAACATACGGCGTGTTTATTCTACCCTCCGTACGGTGCGGCGTGTCTCATGTTGTGCGTTTTGTTTGTACTCGAGGGAACTCGCTTCAACTTAGTTAATTTGAGTCTTCATTCCAATGTATATTTATAATATTTAAGACTAACTTTTGTTTTTAAAATTTTATCCGCGCGGAAATGTTTTTTTTTCCATTGACCAACATAGATAACGATGTTTACTCAAGATTAATTATTTTTTACTTTAACAACGTGTTTATACTAGTACAAAACTTTTACATAAGGAAAGATATAAAAGTCAATCTTTCTTTGTGTAAAGTTCAAATCGCAGTAGGTAGGTGGGGTTGAGTAAACAAAGTGTGCATGCTCAGCATTCCATGACGCTGTGTTAGAGCATACATTAGCGCTGTGTGACAACATTTGGTCGTTGGTGTGAGATACGGCGCGGCGGCGGCGGCGGCGGCGGCGGGGGCGGCGGCGATACGACACCGATAGCGGCCGAGCAAATGTTTGCTCCGAAGAAATGCATGCGCATATCCCAATGGAGATTCAGTTCCAAATATTCAACAAAGTACGTTTCTGTTTATTTTGCGATGAGCGATGTATTTTTCTTTTTAAATATTCCTTCTTCTTTTGCTATATTGTGGTAAAGTTTAAATGTAAACATTGCATGATACAAGAACGAGCACATCATACGTGGAACAAACATCTTTATGACTCATTGTTTGCGTCATAAGCACAGATTATTACAATTATTAAGATTATGGAGTGAACCTGAAATCATTTTAACTCTGCTATGAATGATTACGAAAAAGTTAAAAAGATTTTGGGTAAAAAAATTCCATCATCCAGGCAGGTAAAATTTATTTGATTGGCACACTTAAATATAAAGGTAGGAGAGATACGATTTGCGGAGTTGTTAATACCATTTATCAATTAAAACTTTATCAGACGATAAGTTTCGCAGTCGCAGAACAAATATTTGCTTGGAACGTAACTCGTAGACTCCGGCGGCGAGGCGGGCGGCGGGCGGCGGCGGTTAGTTATCTTATCTAAATTACTTCAAAATATATCAGCAGCTCGTAACGCGAACACATAACTCACTCAGCTACCTATTGTTCATTCAAATTTGCTTACAAACATTTTCTGTCATCTCTTCTATATGATATTTATACGTTAATTTAAAACAATATAACAATTGTTTGCAGTTTTATCAAAATATTTGTAAATTCTTTTAAAATATTATTTATATAATATACGCAACTTATAATACTTTTTAATAGTTAAGCAATAATATATACTTTCCAATAACTTGCAATGTTTGGCTCCATAAGACGCAGCTTGCGCTAAAGTGGCGTCACAAAAACTAATGGTAAGAAAGTGTGGGAGCAGGAGTATTGCTCGGGGCGGGGGACCATGTCGGCAACAACAACGGCAGCATGTCGCACAACAACTACAAACTAATGTACTCCCCCACCCCCCACCCCCTCGCCCCTCTACAACTTTGTTGTGTACTATGTCATAAGACAAACTTCACTATTGCTACATATTGCTGACTTTTGGTAATAAATAAACATCCCATATCACCTGAAGATTCCATCAAACCTACACTATTTTATAATAATTTCATTGAAATCATACATTACTTTATTCTGTCTGACTGTGAGTGTGCAATTAACATATTTGCATTATTAAAATGATTGTTAAATATCGAGGTAATTTTTCAACATTTTTTCATTTAAACCAAACACCTCTTATCTCATTAAAACTTAAGCCTCGCCTCGTGATCTTCCCTGCCTCGAGCCTGCCCACAACTGCCGCTCGCAAAAGGTGACATCAATTCGAGGAAATTACACAATTGGACAATTTTGCGGACTCTTCGTACATATTTATAGTACGGAATGCATTTGAGAATGAATTTTTAGTCGTGAGATTGTTTTTGCTTTATATGACACTAGCAGTAGCTCACGACTCCGGCCGCACTGAATGAAAACTAACTTAATTAGAAGCCTATTTGTACTTCCATACTATGTTCTACATCTATTCCAAATTTAGCAAGATCCGTTCATCCGTTCTAGATAACTTCTAACAAACATACATCCATCCATCTGTCTAAACTTAAGCATTTATAATATTGTAAATTTTCAAAACTGAACGTGAGTATTACATTCCAGATTTTAGGAAGCCCACTATTATTTAACTTCCCAAGCGTGTAGCAGCGGGATTATAATCTAATTGTACGCAATTATTAAAAAGCTTTAACTCGTTAAAATTTTAAACAAAATTATAAAAGTGTTGTCAGGATTTATTGTATGTAATAGCAGAGAAGAGGCGATATATTTCACAGCAAAATGACACGCGTTGTGTTCTGTCTCTGCTCGTTACCCGCACGCGGCGCGGCTGTACACTGCGGAACACAAATAATGCTACTATTTATTACTCGTTACCTTTTACACTTTAAAATATTTTTAACTGTTATCCAAATTCGTAATACATTTTAAAAATTAAAACTAAAGTAATTCATTTTAAAATTAGCAGCAGATTTTCATTGTGGTAAAAGTTTTAAACAGAAGTAAGTCTTTTTTAAACGTGTCTGTATGTATTTTTGTTTTGTATTGTAAGTTGAAGAAATATTGATTTCTAACGCCATCTTTTCGAAAATTAAGAAATCAATAATATATATGCATATAATATCCATTCATAATCTAAATATTAAAAAATGTAATTAGTTTGATTAATAATTTTATATTATAAAAATTATGACAAGGTAAAAATCTTCGTGAGAGCGCCTGAAGCAACGCTCTTGCTAGTATTTTACCAGTGTCTGTTATAATTTCAAAACTCCTTATGATATGTCTCGGTGCGCAACTAATACACGTCTAAACAAATAGTTCAAAAATATTCATCGTATAAACATTGTGATGTGAACGAACTGTAAAAAACGCATCTAGCGAAAGCGGCGGTTTGCTACAGCGATGTTTTACTAATGTATACAGGATGTAGACTCATGATGAAAGCTAAACATACGAGCTTAAACAGAACGAACACAAAATAAGCTAAAAGCCCTTTTTGACTAAAATGCAAATAAACAACGTAACAAATTAGTTTTTTAAACATCTATAAATAAATTATTATAAACATATTTTTCATATTAAAATAGTAATTGTGATTGCAGAAATAACTTTACAGTTTGCAATAAATCAGTCAAATTCCAAAACATTCAAACAAGAAAACTCATTATTCAAAAGTAACAAGTTATATCTGTGTGTATACATATCATTTCTAATTAATACAAGAGTTAGTTAATATCTTCTTACATTAAACAAGTTCTCAAACAATTTAAGATGTTACTAAATGTTCCTAATAACAAATAATATAAAATCAATAGTATGTACTATTTAACAAATTAATTAATACATTTTTATCTCAGATATTAAAGTATTTCTTCATAAGTTTTTTCATAACGTGCCTTATATGCAATGTACGGTAGATTAAACACGTAAGGAAGATTAATGTGACAGCTATGAGGTCAGCGAGCACCACGATAAGTGTTACCCTACGTGACAGGTGACAGGTTACAGGTTAAAGAATCACCATGTATTGATTATGAGTGGCTTCGTTTAGGATGTTTTGACCAGAACACGGCAATGCTTTACTGATAAGGAAATAGGTATACCTTTATGACAAATCTATAAAGAGATTTATAAATAAACATTGCCAAAATGGACGGTAATCCGTGCTTCAATAGTAAAAGATAGTTTTAACAAAAATATTCACTTAATAAAATGCCCTTACTAAGAGTATTACTTATTCCACCAAAATGAAGTTAATTAATAACTAGTTCAATGACCTCAATGAAATATAACTTTGGTGTCGGCATTCGAGATAATATTCGAAGAGCGGCTTCTGGAAACGCCTCAATAACTTCATTGCTCCTGACTTTACAAAACACGATGCATTTTTATGTAAAATTTAAGCTGAACATAATTTAATGTTGTTGTTGAGATAAGAGAGCGCTTACGAACACGTTCGAAAATTTAAAACAACAAGCAGGAAGACATTATAGAAGATTAAAAGCCATGATCGTGCCGCAAGGTTTTGTTGAAATTATTTGGATAACTGCAAGATGTTGTGTAGGTACAAGGGTATCTCCATTTCGTTTAGGAAAAGGAATAGCGGAATTTCTTCTGTGGTTAATACTGAATACGGATCGGTGGACGGAACATAAAAGAAAGTAGACCGGCAACAACCGGCTTTTGTCGTGCGAGCCCTAGATCCAGCGCAGCGAGTGCGACCGGGGCAGCGGCCGGAGCCAAGCGCGCGGGCTAGTCTCGCCGGGCGGCAGGCGGCAGGCGGCAGGAGGCAGGACGCCGCACGCTCACAGCATTCCTCGCATTATTGCGATCCGAATTCCTTCCCACGCCGGACCGGACGAAAAACAGGTTTAAGTTGCATTGCATAGCGAAAGGAAATCACGCGTGTCCGTCTTTCGCAGCTAATTATTAAAATAATATTACAAACCTCGAAGTGATCGCCGCACAACCAGGAGAGGCAAATAACCGCCCACAAATATTAATCACAAACACATATTTATAACTTGCACGAGATAAAACAAAATGTGAAATTTTAACATCGAAATATTCCGAAATCGGAACACGCAGCCGTTAACGCGCGGCTCACTCGAACACAACGTCTACACTACTCGAGCTCCGGCACGACACTGACTCGCTCGAGCGAGGCGAGTGCTAGTGCGAGTGCGAGTGGTGATGGTGAATGCGAGCTGCTTCATTCTCGAATTCTACGCTACGGCCATTCAGGTACGCAAACGAGAAGAACGCACACTAAATAAATCTTTATCGCTCACGCAATAATGGTAATAGTTGTCCGGCTATCGGCCAGTGATAAGGCTGCGTCGATATCAAAGCCGCGTCTAGGATATCTGTGCGAGCGGGACAGCCGGCGACGGTGCAGACAAGAGCGAGCGGGATGGGATGTTTCGCCGTTTAAGATGATTGAACCGTGAAATTCCTACATTCAGTTGTGAGATAAAAGTGCCGACTTCAACAATAGTGCATCTAGGGGAATGCGGTTCACGTTTTTGTCTCACTAATTAGTGGTCGTTAAATAAAGACGGCATATAAATAGTTATATTGAGGAGTAGCAAAATGTGAGGACTCTAGCGCTGTCCCGTGGGAATGAGAAATTGATTGTGTTATTATTGTATCACAACACAAAGCTGATTGCGAGTTATAGCGGAACAAACGGGACATTTCTCAGTTACTTATGATATTTACAATAGTTCCGCGTTGTTGCACACACGCAACACAAAACGGTTACCTCATACCAAAGTCACATCTAAGATACAATAAAGGAATGAAATTATGAAAAATTATTTTATTTTATTTGAAGACTCTGTAATTAAACATTTTTTTTATTTCAGTTGCATTAAAAAAAGAATCCTTTACTGAGCTAAAAATATTCTCAGAAAGACCGCTAATCCATTGTTACAATTACTAACGACAATTAGTTAATTGTCGTCACAAGTTACATGAGAATTAAGAGTGACAAACAAACACAAAACGCGGTCATGTCATGAGAATTGCCTGGTATCTAAGTTAACCTATTTATTAGATAAATAACTCCAACTTAGAACTTAAGACATTATTACAACTAGAAAAACAAACACCGCTCAGGTACAGGCGTCATTCTCGGTTAATTTCATTAATTATTTCTAAAGATTTGAATAACCTAGGTAATTACATGCTTACAATAACAGTTTATATCATATATTGTATGTTATTTGAATCATGTCTCGACTTGTTTATATCATATAGACAGGTCGGTCCGCTAGCTGCCTACCTGTTTTTGTCTCCCGGGACTTGAGCCCAGCCAACAGCTAACAGACGAGCCGCATGTAGACGCGTTAATAGTCCGCTCTTATCTTTTGAAAGAATCCCTCGGTAGTTTTTATGCGAGACAAGAAGTTTTTGTTTAGTTTGACAAACGTTAGCAGGTTCACACGGAATGTTTTTTCTATCTCCGGTTAGAAAGTAAACAGGAATGTTTTAAGTGGTCCCATGACAAGGACTTTCTCGGCGATATTATTTCGGCTCGAGTTAAGTTCAGGAAACGAGCGGGTGTTTTACAGGGAATACAATGAGAAGTACGTACACTCGACGGTAATAAGGAAGTTCATAGATTAGAAATAAGTTAAAAACAACATTAAGAAACATTAGGGTAAAAAACGGCCTTTTGCTATATATTACATAACAACTCGATACCTTGCCGTATAAATCGAAAACTTTTGAATAGCTCATCGAAACTTATCCGCATCCAATATCTCTCGCGAACTATTCATTTCTTATATCAAAAGGCAGTAGTAGTTTAGAGTTCTCCGACTGAAAAGAGGGTAAACAACCGGGTCCCGCTTGCTCATGAAAGAGGAAGCGACCGCCCCCCCCCGCCCTCCTTCCCCGCGATGCAACCCCCCAACCATCTCACAGTTTTAATGAATTTCAACTTCACTATTTTTATTTCTTGTGTGGAATGTTCTAAAGATGTTTTGGTTTTATAAGCTTATACGTAAGGAATTGCTGCTTTGAATCGAAACCATTCGCTGTGAACTTGCTGCGCCGCGGGAACCGTCCATTGATGTGAGTTTTGGAATAAAAGCGATATAAATTATTTCCACTGAGAAGTATATCTAAGCAGTTATTCCAAGAACTCCTTATCTACGCAAAAATTATAAAACATTCATTAATATTTCAGTACTAAAAAGAAAAAAAATCTGTGACAATGTAAATGTAATTAAATACTTATAATAATAATATTTTTATGGCCTTATTTTTACTAACACATCAGGGGGGGGAGGGGGAGGTAAATAAAAATTTTCTTTAATAAATTTTAAGTCCACTAGACTTAAATGGCCGAAACGGCTTTAAACTTAAATTTATAGCAGAGTTGCTTTGACCCGCCTTAATACTGTTCAAAATGTCTTCTGCAAAACCAAATTTATTACTATTTATACTCAAAGCGCTCCATGCTCACTTCTAGATTATTTATTGAACTATTACTTCATCCGGATTATATTTCGACCGCTTTTACAACTAAACTAATCACGAAATAAAACAGAAGCGATTAAATTCCTCTTAAATGCAATATTGTTAATGATATAAAACATATTGCCTTCTGTATTCATCTTTATTATTTAAGCAATCCTTGTTGTAAATTTCTCGTTTCTTTCGATTGAATCGCCTTTTACTTGTCGATGCAATCAACTATTTGTTATGAATACTCTACGGCACTGAAAATTCTCCACCAGCAAAATTCATCACGTAAGACTGACCACAGCGTAGCTTAGTTCAAAAGCGATACAACTGTTTCCTTGTGAACGTCACAGCTCGCTGGCCGGACCCGAATTGATAGAACACTCAACTTTAACAAGGGGCTTAAGTTTCACAGGCAGATACACCTCCCTCCTCCCCCCCTCCCACCACCACCACACCTCGGCAATACAACTTTAGATTAGACGCCCTTTGAAACATTATCGATACCGAATTCAATGATTCACTTTAGTTTAGAAATTGATCCGTTTTCTACAACTATATAATTAATTTTCTTTAAAGGGATTCACTTTGGAATTAGAACTTGTTCATACATTCAACAAGTAACAGCTGCTTGTTATTGGGATATATAAAATATAATTGTGTGCAATAAAATATTGTATAATACATATACACATACATAGACAACTTCATGATTTTATTATTCAGTTGTTATTTAATATTGTAAAATTTATTATTGTACCTAATTTCTTCAGGACATTTTTGATCTGTCATATAAATTGCGTAATATTATATTAAAAAGTTGGATTTTCATCGCATTAAAGTTATTGAGTAATGGTTATTGTTGTTGTGTAACATGTTGCAAATGAGATTCATCTGAGGGACTACTTAAAAGTATTCCTTCAAACTTTGTATGAAACAAATAAAAGGCTATTTAAAGTGGCTCCCTTGCGCTTCAACATGCCAAAGTTGTTTTATTTTTTTCCGCCTATTTTACTGAATACATTTTATGAGAAAGTTTTCTTTCGAGCTGTAGTTTATATAAAGATTAGCTAATGTCTTAAAACGTTCCGCCATAAATTTGCCGTCACAGTTCAAGTCGTAGAGAACGTAGCAGAAAATCTTTCTCCAAATAAATTGGGTGCTTGAAGCTATAATGTAAAAGGTTTCCTTTTATTACATGTACTAGAAATGAAAAGGCAGCTAAAGTTAACATTTAGATTATGTATAATACATAAACATTTTTACTATTATTATTTGCAACAGTATGTAAATAAATCCAAAATTTGGTCTAGTGGCATATCAGATATTTAAACACTATTTAACACACAAAAAGTTGAAAAAAAAATATAAGTAGGACTTTTTTTTAGAAAAGAAATATCATTGCACTGCCCGGGAATCGAACCCGGGTCGCAAGAATGGGAATCTTGCATGATACCACTACACCAGCAGTGCTTGCGTGTGCAACTTTAATTTGTACTTGAATGTTACTTAATCAAGCAAAAACTATTGCATCCTAATTTTAACGGAATAGTATAAATGTACCAATAATTTACTAATAAGTTAATTAAACTAAGTTACATTTGAGATTGTTTTTAAACAATACAAGGTGACCGACTGTTTGAATAAGAAAACTTGTAATTAAAAACTGCTACATGAAAATTAACAAGTTCAGAGACAAAGGGATCTACATTGTGAGACATAAATCTAATTGAAATAATTTTATCAAAGCATTTAATAATGATTTCTGACAATCTTAATGAATCCCTCTCTCTCTTGTCAGATTAAATACAATTTCCAGTAAAACTCTTCCAACTTTATACAAACATCTAAAATATATTTAAAGTAATTATTCATTCAATTAAGTTGAAATGAAACATTTTAAGATTTATGACAGATCCCTTTGAAAAGAACGTTTAAAAGATGTTTTAATATTTCAACTAGTTTGAGACCCACACAAAAGTAATAACTTATTTTTTCATAAGTTTAAAGGTTTTTATTTTCAGTCTTGTGATGAGCTTTGATTTTGTAAAGTGGGTGATCATGTGAGCTCATCAACGCGTCAGAAATAATGATGTTAGGGTACTACTAGATTTCTGTATCATTTATTTCCATTAAATATGAAAGTTAATTACGTGTATGTTTTAAATGTAACAATGTAACAGTCGCTCGATGTATATAGACAATAAATTACAATTATAAATGTGTTGCATCAAAGTTCCGTCAGATGGTGTGATGTATCGATGTGTTGCGCTTTCATCTGCTACACTAAAATGTGTCACAAACGGCACGCAGCATCACTGAAATTATTTCCATAATTAACCTAATGTTTGTTGAAATACTTCATTAATATTATGTTGTGATCCAGTAGGTAGGTACATGGTTTTAGAATACTTTACATCAGTTAGGAATAATCAAATATATACAATTTGATACAAGAACAAAGCAGTCTGTTGTAAAATGCCTAAGAGATGTTTATTATTTGAGTGGACAGGACAATACAGCTCGTAGTTAGGCGTCACGTTTTGTGCTGTTTGGGACGTGACAACATGCGGCCATGTTGACCCTCGCATCATATTAAAGAAGGTTTGATAAGTATTCCAATAAAAATGAATAGTGCCTGACAAAAATGCCAAGTGGTCGAGTACTTATATTATTCACAAATTACAACGCGCATACATACATACATACATACATACCAGCCAACCGGA